AGAAGTCATGTTTGCTACTTAAACTCACTGTCCAAAATAGTAATTTATTCAACAAATATTAATGGATTACAAGCTCCTGGAAGGCAGGGCCACATTTTAGTAATCTCTGTAGTCTCAGAAAAGGCTCAATCCTTAACTGAGAAACAGTATTGCCTCTCACAGCAAAAAACTGCAAACAACCCTATATAATCATTGATAACATCTTTAAGATTAATCCTTCAGCAATCAAAAGAGTATTTACATTTAAATATTGATGAAACATACCGTTACTTAACAGAAACACTGCAAAACTACTGTACTCTGATTTTTTTCTCTGTTCAGAAAAGCTGTCATACACATCTACAATGAAATATTATTTAGTCATAAAAAGAAATTATATATGCTTTATATCATGGATAAATCCTGAAAAACATTACCCTGAGAAAATTAGATCCACCACAAAAGCACAAATATTATTGATCACACATATATAAAATAGACAAACATCTAGAGACCAAAGCTTCTTAGTGGTTATCAGAGGTGGGAAATAGGAACCCTGGTGATGGGACAATGGTTAATCTCTCTGCTGCTCACTAAAAGGTCAGCGGTTCAGAACCTTCCAACCACTCTGTGGGAAAACAGACGTGGTGATTGGCTGCTGTAAAGGTTACAGCATAGGAAGTGCTATGGAGAGTTTTACTCTTTAATCTATAGTCGTTATGATTCAGAATTGACTCAAGACACACAGAAAACAACGATGAGAGGAAAGAGGGAGTCTTTGCTTAGGGGACAATGAGTTTCTGTTAATAATGATGAAGTAGTAATAACAGCAACAAAAAACCAAGCCCATTACTCTTGAGCTGATTCCAGCTCACAGCAACCCACTATTAGGTGTCTAATACTGTAAATCTTTAGGGGGGGGGGGAGGACTGTCCATTTTTCTCCCTGGGTACAACTGATGAATACAAACTGGCAACAGGTCTGCAAAAGAAAGGCCCAGTGAACTGCTTCTGGAAAGAGTTGTTGTTGTTGCTGTTATTGTCAAATGGAATCAACTCATAGTTGACCTTTTATTGGGTTTTCAAAAGCAGTCAATCACATAAGAGAAAAGTGTCCATCTTTATCCCACAGAACGACTGGTGGATCCAAATGAGGTGTCTTTGGAATGGCAGTGCCGCCACTTACCACCTGGCTACCACAGTTAACAAAATTCTACAGAGCAGCAATTCCACTCTTTAACATAAAGAGTCATCAGAAGTGTGAGATCAATTTGATGACATCTAACAATATGTTAGATAGCTACCATATTTTATACAAATAACATGCGTGTTTGAAAATCACAGTTCTTTTCCATATTTTCGTAAGTGAACTATACCAATGTTTTCTTTAACAAGTTGCTGGCTTCAATTCTAATTTTTTTTTCCTGTACAACGGATTTAATATCACCAGGATATATTTCTTCTGCCCTCACAATGATCTTCAGTTGAAGCTGATGATATAAAATGTGCATTTAATTCCTGACATGATCTTAGAGAGTTCTAAGATTTATATTTACAGCCTGAGAAATAGGCACAATACAATAACTGACTGGTTGTAGTAAAGAAATCACAAAATTCAAATGTGGAGCATGTAAGAAATTAGTTTTCTCATAAGCTCACAGGCATATCATATGACTACACTGGCTCGTAATCATTGATCAAAGACAATGGTGTGAATAGGACAGTTAGAAATAAGACTAATTAAAAAAATAACTCTGAAATAGGTATACCTAACATATGGTTTAATTTAAGCTGATTTGATAAGGTTTTCTAACTCAACTGCTAAGCCAAGAACAATCATGTATCAATTTTTCTCTGTTTACTCCTTCAGTGAAAAGCCAAAGACAACATGACAATTATGTCAATGCAGATTGAGTTGAGATGCTCATTAATAGCTACTCAGTGCTGTTTATAGCAGCACAGACTTTGCTTTGATCACATTTCCAACTGATAGCACATAATTTTTTAACAAGCTTCAAGGTTCTGATTGAAGACTCAAAGCAAGGAGACATAATCATAATCACAAACCAACAGAAACAAATTCAAAGTTGCAATAGTTTATTTTCCAGGGGGATGAAGAGAATTCTCAGTACTGGCAAAAAATAATCTCCAGAAGTGGAAAGCATCTTTCAGATCCAGGTCCCTGCAGGATGAAGTTCCTTGCTACCAGAGAAGCCAGAGCCCATGTAGATCTCCACAGACTGCCAGGCCTAGAGATGCTGAAGGAAGCAAGGATTTTCCTATACCACCAGGAGAGACAGAGAGAGAGGCCTTCCCTTAGAGCTGAGCTGCTATCCTGAATTTAGACTTCCAGTCTCCTAAGCTAGAGAGTATATGGTAACCTTGATAGGATGAAGAAACTGGTGATCAACAAAGATTGTCAATGATCTGCTTAGTATTACCTGAGAGGTGTGACTCGATAAATAAACCTCCTTTTTTCCCAGAGAACATGAATTCTACAGTATGGAAAATACAGCAGTAGAGACGAGCCTTCAGGGGCAGCTGCAGGTGGGAATGGCTGAGCAAATAATCTGAAAAACCAGACTATATGAAAAATTATATAGCATCAGGATTGCAAGAAGACTAATCAACAACCTGAATTAGAGAGAGGACATTTTGCTTGCTGAAAGCAAAGAGGGTTTGAAGCACGTATTGAAAGTCAGAAACTACACAGTCTTGAGTATGGATTACACCGTAACATCAAGGAAAAAAAATCCTCACGACAGATAAACAATAACATGGCAAATGGAGAAAAGAAGGACAATTTCAAGGATTTAATTTTACTTGGATTGGTCAAGAAATCAAATTGCTTTAAAAAAAATAAATAAGGGAATAATAACTGAAATTGGGCAATAAAATATACTGAATGGTAAAAAAAATTTAAAAAAGAAATCAAATGACAGATTATAGCAGATAAATCTGCTGCCAAGGACCTTTCTATAGTACTAAAGAGTAAGGATGTAGGTTTATAGATTAAGGTGTTAATCATTACTGATCAAGTCATGGTATTTTCAATTATTTCATATGTATATGAAAAGTAGACAATGAATAAATAAGATCAAGAAAAAGCTGCTTTGTTGACAAAGACTTCCGAATATACCACAGATACTCAAAGGTAGAAACAAATGCATCCTGGAAGAAACACAGTCAGGGTGCTCTTTAAAAGAGAGGAACGTGAAGACTGTATGTCACATAATTAGGATATCTTCTGTCAATATGCTGTACTGAGGTAACCTGGGGTTGCTGTGATGCTGAACTTTGTGCTACTGGGGTGTCAAATGTCACAACAGTTACCCATGGTGGACAATGTTTGGTGGAGCTCCCAGTTTAAGACAGGTCTAGAAAAAGGAGTGGCATCCACTTTCTAAACCACATGCCTCTGGAAACTCTATGAACTTTGATAAATGACGACAGTATAAAAAGGCTTCAGGTCTTCGGTTCATAGGGTTGCTATGAGTCACGTTCAACTTGAAAGCAATCAACAACAACAACTTTGGACTTGTCAGGAGGGGCCAGTATGAGGCAAGAATAACACAGTTGGGGGAAATGGGAGGTTAGAGAAGGAAAGAAAGAGTAGAGAGTAAGTACAACAGTGAGCACAGCAGAAATTCTCAATTTATGGCAGGATTTCATCTTCTTGAACATAAAACTGCTATGGGTTGGAGCCAACTTAATAGCAACGAAAAGCAACAACTGCTTTATTCATATTTTAGATTTTAAATTGAAAATATATGAGACTATTGTTGTCTTTTCAAAGCCATATCTTAAAATGGATTATATGTACTGATTTATTAATATAAAATTTAATGTGTCCATTTACTATAACAACAACAACAACAAATTTCCAAATACTGGAGTAGAATCAAACTCAACCCAAGACATCATGACTATGTCTTATCTCTTTATTATACAAATAGAGTAAAAAAAAAACAAAAAACAAAAAACACAACATTTTGGATTATCAAATGAGAGTGAGGCCAAAATTCACTTTGAAAAATGTCATAAAATATGTTGGTATATGCGTGAGCACTCTATGCCAGGCCTTTTTCCACATGTTATCATTTCTGTGCAATTGTGTGTGTTTGTCTGAGAAAATGCATTATTTACATGAGCATACTATTTGTGGAAAATACAGTAATTCTATGATGTCTGTGACAGTATATTCCACTGGGAAAAAGGACACTATGAAGCACACAAACATTAGAAGTTATTTTTACAGATTAATCCATCTATTATCTCTTTTCTACCTATGACTGAGCATTTGTTCCTATATAATATTTACTCTATGCAGTAATAAAAAAGTTAACTAGAACATCAGATCAATGAATTTTCAGAAATATAAGAATTTCCTTTTTATTTAAATGCATTTAAGGGCAAAGTCAAGTTAATTTTAAGTTGAATTGTGCTTACTTTAAAAAAATAGTTCAAGGACAAGGTATATACTAAAAACATGATAGAACATTGAGATAAGCATTGAGAGGCACCAGCACAAATGCAACTTTGCTGGTACAGAGTACATGTCCATGAGTTACAGAATGCCATCAAGTCGACTTTGACTCACAGTAAACCCAGATGACAGAGCAGAACTGCCTCACAGAGTTTTCTTGACTGTAATCTTTATAGGAATTTCTCATCATGGAGTTACTGGGTGAGTTTGAACTGAAAACCATTCAGTTTCCAGCAAAGTTTAACTGGTACACCACCATGACTAAAAGGAAAAGGTGATATAGACTGCATACTGTGTATTCATGGAGCTCCAGTGGCCTAGTGGTAAGGACATGCACTGCTAATACAAAGGCACATGGTTCAAATCCATCAGATGCTCTGGTAGAGAAAGATGGGCAATCTCCTCCTGTGTGATTTACAGCCTCTGAAAATGCACTGGAGGGTCAGCTATGAGTTACCTGGTTCCGACTCGGCAATACATAACAACTCTGTATGTTGGAGAGAGAAGACGAAATATCCATTCACATCAAAACTCACCTCTGGTGACAGCATCTAGTGCACAGCCACTCCCTGTTGCTCCTCCTCCAATGACAAGGACATCAAATTCAGATGTGTTTTGCAATGTCAGTAGCTGAGCTTCTCTGGAAGGAGGCTCTCTGTTCACAGGTTCAGTTACATTGTCTGCGGCTTCAACATAGGCTAGGTTCACCTGATAGGAAAGTAGATCATTTTCAGCTATTCATTCATCCAAAAAACAATCACTTTAATAAATTTTACAATACAATAAAAAGACAAGCTCTTTAATGGAAATAAGGAATAAAAGAACTACAACAAAGGCCACAGTCAATATGAAGTCTCTTTCACGAGACATAATTCTTTAGCTATAAGTCCCTGGTTTCAGATTCAGTATCTCAGTTGTTTGTTTTGATGTCATATACAGACAAAATTAAAATACAATATACCAAAACCTCTGAGATACCACTAAAGGAGTCTTCAGAGGACAGTTCATAGCAACCTTGTCTGACCCTTGTTCACAAGGGGAACGCCTTTAGTCTTTCTTCACTGAGAAGTTTACAGAATACTATGGGGCCTCCATAAGAAAAAGACTGAATGGGCAAAAGACTTTTCATAGAGGAAGACATTTGGACAGCCAACACATGACACATGAACAAATGCTCAAAATCACTGGCATTAAGAGAGACGCAAATCAAAACCACAATGAGATACCATCTCGTCTGAGTAGTAGTGACAAAGTTTAACAGAAGAGCAAGCAAGAAATGCTGGAGAGGATGTGGAGAGATAGGAACTCTCACATACTGTAGGTGAGACTGTAAAATTATACAACCACTCTGGAAGTCAGTTTGGTGTTTCCTCAAAAAGTTGACCATAGAATTTCCATAGGACCAGCAATTCCAATGCTAGGAATATACCCCAAGAAAAACAGAACTGAGACAGAGATTTATACACCAATAGTCACAGTAGCATTAATCACAATAGAAAGAACGTGGACACCACTCAGTTAGTTGTCTAACAACAAACAAATGGATTGAGTTAGTTGTACATTCAACAGTGAAATATTATGCAACACTCAGAAGCAACAGTTTTGAGAGGTTAGAGAGTATTATGCTGAGTGAACTAACTCAGTGTCATAAGAACAAATATTGCATAAGACTATTTTTATTAAAAAGGACAATTAGTAAAGTGTGTATAAAAGTGAACAACAGATAGGAACTTTGTCCCATCTTGCACCATCATCCTGATCTCTGACATCTCTAGCTCATTGTTTCAATCACTTTGTCAATCCATCTCATTGTAGGTCTTTCTCTCTCTGTTTCTTCACTTTTTCCAGTATGATGCATTTTTCCCAAGAACTGGCTATTCCTAACAACATGTCCAAAGTAGGAGAGGGTACATTTCACCATTTTTGCCTCTAAGGAGCACTCTGGTTGTACCTTCTTGAAGATAGACTTGTTTGTCCTACTGGCAGTCCCCAGGATATTTAGTACTCTTCGACACCACAATGTAAAGGCATCAATTCTTCTTCTGTCATCCTTATTCACTTTCCACCTTCCAGATGCACAACAAGCAACTGAAAATACCATGGCTTGGATCAGGCACACCATGATCTTTAAACCGATACCCTCATCCTTTAGCACTTTGGAATGATCTTTGACAGCAGATTTGCACAAAGCAACATAGCTTTTGATTTCATAACTGCTACTAGCAAGTATACTGATTATGGATGCAAGTAAGGTGAAATCATTGACAACTTCAATATTTTCTCTTCTCTCAGTGATGTTGCCTTTTGGTCCAATGGTGAGGATTTTTATTTTCTTGTTGAGAGGTCATCCATATGTGTAGTCTTTGATCATATTCAGTAACTGCTTCAAATTTTGTTTACTTCCTGCAAGGACAGTTGTGCCACTTGCATAACACAGATTGTTAAGAAGTCTTCCTGTAATGCTGATGCCATGTTCTTCATATAATCCAGTTTCTTGACTTTTTGCTCAGCATACAAATCTCACAGACAAGGAGAAAGGTTTATAACCCTGATGCACAACTTTCCTCATTTTAAAACATGCAATATCCCTTTGTTCTGTCTGGATGACTATTTCTTGGTCTATGCATAGGTTTTGTATGAGCACAATTAGATTTCTGGGAGTTCCATTCTTCTCACAGTTAGCCATAATGTTATCCAAAAAGAAGGGCTGGTAGATGGAAAAAAACAGTTAAAAAAATTAGGCTGTAGATTCAATGTCAGAATTTTGTACGATTAATGATTTATTCATTACAAATACCTCTACATTACTAGGTATTATTTAAAAAAATCCCTGGAAGCAACCTCTCAGCTGTTCCATGAGAGAAAGATGTGGAAGGGGTGGCAGTCTGCTTCATAAAGATTTACAGCCTCAAAAATCCTATGGGGCAGTTTTACTTAGGAAGCTCTGCTAGTGTAGACTGTAGAGAGTTTCTCAGCTAACCCAAAAGCCTCAAGTCTCTGATGTCACTGGGAATTGGAACTTACTTTACAGTAATGAGTTCAAGTTGTTTTATGTTGATAGCGTAACTGTGAGCTGGAATCAATTCAGTGGTGGCCTAGTCAGTAGAGAGTTGTGCTGCCAACTCAAAGACAGTTCAAATTCACGACCTGCTCCAAGGGAAAAGGATGGGCAATCTCATCCTATGAAAATCTACCACAGAGTTAGCTATGAGTCAGTTCCAACTCAATGGCACTGAGTTTGAGTTTTGTCTTGGTTTGGTTTGGTTTGGTTTGGTTTGGGGTTTTTTAAATGGCAATGATCTGTAAAAATAAAGTTTTTCATCAGGAATCGTAATTTATTAGACTATTAATTCAGATGCTATGGCATAAAAATCTTATTCTCTTTCAAATAACTCCTGCTAATTTTGCTAATAACCATTTCTCCACGTTTATCCTTTAAATAACCTAAATTCCCATGTTTTCCATGCTGACTCATTAAAACCCCCTGTGTGTCAGAGTAGAACTGGACACCATAGTTTACTGAGGCTGATTTTTCAGAAGCAGGTCACCAGTCTTTTCTTCTTAGGTGCTTCTAGTGGACTTGACCTGCACCACCCTTTGCATACAATTGGAAAAGTTGTGGCGGCCTGGTGCTTCACATGTCTAACAAAAAAATTTAGTGGTTTGAATCTACCAGCTGTTCTACAGGAGAAAGATGAGTAGTCTCCTTCTCAAAGATTACCTCAAAATCACATAAGACTGTCAATATGAAATAGAATGGACAGCAGTGGGTTTGGGTTCGATTTTACATATAGTTAAGGAGCTCTTGTGGCATAGGTGATTACACATTGGGCTTCTAATAAAAAAATTGGTCCTAATTCACTAGAAAAAGTGAGAAGTCTCCTTCGAAAAGAATTTACTGCCCCAGAAACACAATGGAGGGTCAACATGAGTCATAATGTGGGGTCAGAAGCAAGTAGACAGAAAAGGTTGGTTTCTTAATTTAGTTGTTTTCATATTCACTTAAAAGTAAAGCATCAAACTAATTAATAAGTGTAACCCTGAGGTGCAGTGGAAGACATGTCCCCCAGCTATTGTCTCTGCCCTCCATTCAATGAGAAGAGGAAACACACCAGAGTATGTAAAAAGAACATATGTCAAAAGTGAAACTAAAAACACCAACCCATGACCGCTGAAATGAGGGGAGAGTCTTTGAGGGTTTCAATTTTTCCATGACAGATGGATAGGACTTGGACATGAGACTGACAAGCAACTAAACTGCTAAAGCGTTTTCACACATCAAAAGAATTGCTGACATTTTGCACTTGGTACGTTTTCTAGAAATACTTGAGAAATGTAAGGAGCGGATTAAGATATAGTTGATTAAAATTTTGTGATACTAAAAAACTCCCTATTCTACTTTGCTAGCAGGTTATAACTACAAATATTAAACTCAGTTTAAACTTCATCTTCAGCAAGTATGCTAGCCCTGACGACAACACTCTACCTTCTGGGACCTCACTCCACTGGCTACGCTGTTCCTCCTGTATTCATTCTTCCCTCATTCTCATCACCTGTCCTGTTTAAACAATTTCAAAACACCTCCATGTGATGCGATTTATAACAACTTTAAAAGTTCTTTAGAGATCTGTAAACACTCTCTACTACCTCACTTTTTTTTGTTACTTCTTAACTTACTGTAGTCTGGATTTTCACTAACACCATCACTGCCCCTATGCTGCTAAATCCAGAGTACTTTTCAGTCCTTATTTTAGCATCTCAGCAACACTTAACACAACTGACTGTCCACTTGCCTGGGCATCTGGAACTCCATTGTCTGAGCTGGACTCTAACTTATTTTGTCCAATTTGTCTTAACTGTCCTTCAACTGCACAATGTTAGACACTGAAGTTCTTCTTAATTCACATTTCACTGACACTCAGTAGGAATCAACCCATAGGTGACCGTCCTCCAGTGGGTTTTTGGAGGCTAGGTGTTTCATCCATCTTTCTCCCGAGGAGCCACAAGTTGATGAGAAAAATCAAAGAGGCATGGCCTTTGGGTTAGCAGCACAATTCCCTATATCACCAGAATTCCCATATTCTATTTTCTCTTCTGTTATCATTTCAGATTCTCTTCCCTGAGATCCTCATTTAGCCTTGTATCTTCAAATATCTTTTGGACTACAATGACTTCCTATTTTGCCCACTTCTCAGAATCTAGACTTCAAACTACCTATGAGACACTTCCATTTGCCTGCTTCACATACATCTCAATATTAATCAGAGTTATCATGCCATAATAATAGCAAGCAGTAATATCACAATATTATAATATGTTGTTATGTAATGTCAAATCAGAACCCACAGATAATTGACCCTCCAGCGAGTTTTCAGACTGTAAATCACGCGGGAAAAGAGAATTCATCATTATTCCATGGAGAAGCTGGTGGATTCGAATTGCATGCCTTTTCATTTAACAGCACAACTCCTCATCCATCAGTAAGCCACAGAGCTCTAGAATATTATGCGATAATATGGTATCACATTTGCAACATTAACTGTAAACCCGAAAACAAATCTGAAAAAAAAATCATATACTGAAAGATTAGAAGTGGATACAATAAAATATAAAGTGATCGATATTATACACCTAGGTAATTTTACTAGAAATACTGAAGCATCCTTGAACACGCTCACTCTCAAAAGCCTCTTATCTCATTAATAGCT